ACCACCACCAGCAGCAGCAGCAGCAGCCCCACACTGTCTGTCTCCTGACCTGGCATGACAGGCACTACAATACAATGTAGGAACTTTGATTTATCCCTCAATATAAAGGATAATCTTAATAAGGAGGCAGGCTTTTTCTTTTCCCTATCCTAGCTAAGGATGTCCAGGAGCGGTTGCTGTTTTCCAGTGCTACAACACACTCTACTAGGCAAAACATGGAACTGCAGAAGTTATTTTCTCTTGGGAGCTTCTGTTCTGTCCTAGAGCCCCAGCCCCCTCTGGTGGTGTGGAAAAGGCTGAACTGCAGCAGTTTTTCAGCAGAAGTTATTTTCTGAAGAAGCAAAAAATTAAGATTGTGCAGCACATGAAATATGCATTCACACAGTGGCGCAGAATCCTCCTAGGAGTAACAATGAGGCCCTGATCAGTGCTTCTGCCTATTATCATAATACAAATATATACATCATTACAAAAGCAATAATTCCAAAAGTCAGTGTGGGGAAACCCAGAGACCCAGTTTAACTTCATTATGAATTTAAAGGATTTAGTATTTTACTGTCTTGTTGCATGTATGGTAGCATGATCCTGTCATTCATATGAGGTGGCTAGGAAACACCATGAAGGATACTAGTAGTGGGTGATCATAAATTTGAAATCGCTACAAACAGAAACAGGCAGGCAACTTGAAGGAGAAATTAATGTTTATGTTTTTTATATGGTTACGCCTCTAAAAATGGCTATAGAACAAGGCAGGCTGAAGTTTATTTGTCCATTGTTTAGGTAAGAATCACCTGCAGAACTTATAAAAGAGTGCTTTTTTTTTTTTTTTTTAAATTGTGGTCACTCCTATGTAACATAGCCCATAGGACTCCTTTGAATTAATTTCTGTTTCAACTAGAGCAGACCTGTTAGAAAAAAATACAACCTGCATCCTTCTAAACTAAGTGACATAGAGTTTGCAGAGCATGCTGAACATGAATATTTCTATACTAGCCAATTAGCCCGTCATAAGATGGGATTTTCAGGTCTCTCCTCCAGGTCAGTCTTCTCTCCTGAGCCTCTAGTCGCTCGCTCCGTGTCTCTCTCTCTCTCTCTCTCTCTCTCTCCTCCTACTGCCTCCCCCCTCTCTTTCAGCTCTCTTCCACCTCTTGCCTCTCTCTCCGTCCCTTTCTTTCTCTTCTCCCCCTCCTGCCCCTCACTCTCCCTTTCTCTTCTCCTCCTGCCTCCCTGCCCACTCTCCCACACAGCGTCTGCGCAGAAGTCAGCCGAGCACCACAGCGGGAGGCAAAGAGGGGTGGGGCGATGACATTCACGACCAGGGTGTGGGGTCTGGAGCCGCTGTCACGCCGCACATCACCACCCCGGTCCCCTTCGCCTCCCGCCCTGGTGCTCGGCTGACTTCTGCACCGCTCAGCCGGGCCACCGCACAGGAGCAAGCGGACATTTGGGCTCCCCTGTGCAGAAGTCAGCCGAGTGCCTTCCCCGGCCGGCGGCGGGGGCCTGGAGCCACTGCCACACCACACTTCACCGTCCCACCCCCCTTCGCCTCCTGCTGTGGCGCTCGGCTGATTTCTGCGCCGCTCAGCCGGGTCTCCATGCGGGAGCAAGCAGAGCAAAAGGCTGTTTGGGATCCCCCGCAGCGGCCCAGCTGAGCGGCGCAGAAGTCAGCCGAGTGCCACGGTGGGAGGTGAAGGACATGACTCAGGCAACAACGCCGCCCATAGGGAACAGCCAGCATTTCAGTGTTACAGAGTCACGGACATTGGGCTACTATATATTTCTATATAATGGCTTTCCATGCTGTAATCTAAGTTCCTTTTGGCATGTATGTTTTTTTTAAAAAGATACAATATAGGAACTTCAAGTTGTCTCTCAGATATAAAGGATAATCTTAATATAAAGTCTCCAGTTCAAGAAAAATATTTTCAGGTGAAAATCCATATTCAGACATCAGTTCAAGAAAAATGTTTTCAGGTGAAAATCCATATTCAGACAAGTTTCTGATTCATACTTATATTATGAAATTTTTTTGCAGGGATCTTTACAGCTTTGAGAAATCTCATGATCAAGCTACCAGCACATTCATGCAGCAGAGAGCATGCATGCACCCAGTGGCTGCAATGCTGGTGGCCAAAGACTTGAAAATGGATCAAGAACACACTGCTTAGTCTCTTCAAAAAACTATGGCAAACTACTGAAACAGAATTATAATTCTCAAAGGGTGGAACGAGGTGTACAGATAGTTCGGAATGGCTTGCTAGTTCGAACTATCTAGCCCATGCCGCGTGTAGCCGCGCGGCACGGGGTTCGAACAAGCCGGCATTTAAAAATGGCGCCGGCCGGCTTATGCAAATGAAGCCCGGGAAATTCAAATCCCGGGCTTCATTTGCAACTGCGGATGACTACATTACCCCCGCTAGTTCGAACTAGGGTGGTAGTGTAAACATACCCAAATTGTGCTAATGTGCATGCTTCATGACTTATCTCACTTCATGTTCTGCTACGGTGGCAACAGTTTGGCTTAAATGGATCTTCAAGATGAACTTAAAAAACTTCAGTCTTGTACCTTGCATGAAACTTCAGAAAACTGGTAAATCTTTGAGAGATGAATGGCTTTAGTACAAGGGTGGGCAAAGATATTGCATGGAAGTTCATGAATGCAGATGTTACTGAAGTGGAGGAGAGGGATTCATGGTGGTAGGGTAGTCTATAAGGCTAATACTGGGGAAAGCAGTGAAGGTAAATCAGCGTAAGGTTTACCTGGTAAGCCCCTGAAGAGCTCCCCACCCTCTTACCATGCCACTCAGAGTATCAGGCTGATGTCACGGCAACCACACCACCCAGGCACTGGAGAAGCTGAGCTAATGCAGCAAGGGGAGGTGGAGCAGAAGAGAAGGGGCCAGGGACTAACCTCCACAGATGGCCAGATCACCAACTACAAGATCCTGCTCACCACACTGTCTGGGAGTAGGGGTGGCTCCTCCCAGCGAGGCTTTCCTGGCAGGAGCTCAGTGGCTGGAGAGGTGGTCCCCATGGGCTGGATGTGGATCCCGGTCATAGCTTGGACCGCCTTCTTCTCTAGTACAAACAAATGATAAAGTATTTAAAGAAAAAGATGTTTTTTCCGAGATGCATTTTGTTTGTCCATTTTGTGGTTTTGTTTAGAAATTGTGGATGAAATTTTTTGGCACAAGCTTTTAAATAAAATCTTTTTATAAAACAACAAACTTGTCTGTGTTCTAATTTTTAACTAGGTTTCCACACTCAACTAGGCTACATCTAGACAGCGGTGATATTTTGGGATACTAGAAGTATCCCAAAATAGCTATTCCGCGTCTTTAAACATGCCTGTTATTTTGAAATACAGGCAGTCCCCGGGTTACATGGATCCGACTTACATCGGATCCCTACTTACAAACGGGGCGGGGCAATCCCGCACTAGCTGCTTCCCCCCAGCAGACCAGGGAGACGCGAAGCTAGCTCCCCCCCAGCAGACCAGGGAGACGTGGAGCGGCCTTTCTCAGCAGACACCTCAGCTTGAGAATAAAGGACTGAGGGAAGTGAGGTGTGGGAGAATAAAACTGAGCTCTGGAGAAATGTTTGGCTAGAGTTTCCCCTACAATATGTACCAGTTCCAACTTACATACAAATTCAACTTAAGAACAAACCTACAGTCCCTATCTTGTACGTAACCCAGAGATTGCCTGTAGTATTCCTGTAACACACAAATTGCATAGCTTATTTCAAGGTAAGGGTGCAGTGTAGACTCACTCTTTGTAGAAAGTACAAATAACAGTGTTACAAATAACAATAGTTATTTCTTGCTGACTTCAAATAGTTCAGTTTTTAGAATAATCCTGGAAGAAAAGTTGATTGTGCATGGAACTTGAAACCATGGCATATAAACATTATGGGCTCGTCTACACTGGCCCCTTTTCCGAAAGGGGCATGGTAATTTCAGAGATCGTAATAGGGAAATCCGCAGGGGATTTAAATATCCCCCGTGGCATTTAAATAAAAATGTCCGCCGCTTTTTTCCGGCTTTTAGAAAAGCCGGAAAAGAGTGTCTACACTGGCCCCGATCCTCCGGAAAAAGCGCCCTTTTCC